GATGGGCTTTGGTAAAAAAATGGCGTCGTTGGATGGCTATGTGCATCTCGACGGCATCCATCACCGTTTTGGTTAATGGTGTTCCTATGAATAAATTTTCCATTAGGAAGGGGCTTCGCCAAGAATACACCTTGTCCCCATTTCTATTCAATTTGGCAAGAGAGGCGTTGAGCGGTATGATAACCAAAGCTGTCAATGTGGGATTGATTGGAGGTGTCTCGGTGGGATCGAACGGTATGAGTGTGTCTCATATCTAGTTTGCCGATGATCTAATAATGTTTTTGGATGATAATCTTGAGTCGATTAGGAACGCGAAGAGGGTATTAGGAATATTTGAAGTAGCCTCTGGCCTTAGCCTAAATGTGAGTAAGTCGACGTTGTATGGGGTTAATTTGCCCGTGCAAAGAGTTCAAAATTGGGCGAGTTTCATCAAATGTGCCTTCGGTAATCTCCCAACAACCTACCTTGCCTTGCCTATCGTGGAGAAGGTTAGTGCAAGATTGGATGGGTGGAAAGGAAAGCTCCATTCGTTTGGAGGAAGGTTGACTTTGATAAGATCGGTCCTAGTAAATATGCCGGTATATTTCCTTTCGCAGTTCAAAATGCCTGAGACGATTGTTACTGTCCTGAATAAGAAGATTGCAAATTTCCTATTGGGCGTGAAGTCAATCCATTGAGTAAAATGGGATAATGTGCGCTGGCCTAGGGCATATGGCGGGCTTGGTTTCTACGATGTGCGAGTTCTAAATTGTTCGCTATTAAACAAATGGCTTTGACGCTACGGGTGTGAACCACAATCTTTATGGAGGAAATTGTTGATGCAAAGTACAGGATGGATCAATACCTAATGATTCCATGTCCTCCACAAACAAGAAATTCCTCAATGATATGGAGGAATATAGACTTCTGGAACGATCATTGGACGGAAGTGAGATTTAAAATTTTAAGGAGGAGAGTACAAAGGATTAGGATGAGAGATAGTTTGAGCTAGTGCAGCGATTCTAGTAGTGCCTACTCGGCTAGCAGCTTTTGCAACATTATAGTACGAGACGGGGGCATTAAAGATAAATTTTGGGACCTGGTCTGGTCGAATTTAGCGCCTGAGAAAGTTCAAGTGTTTGTTTGAAGTGCTGCAATAGAAAGGATTCCAACATTTGTCGAGTTAGTGAAAAGCGGAGTAGAGGATATAGAATCGTGCAAGTGTGTTTTCTGTGAAGAGGAGGAGGAGACAGTAAATCATCGGCTATGTCATTGCAATTTTATTTGGGGGATTTGGACAAGGTGGTTTGCGCTGTAGTGCCTGAATTTCGTATGCTCAGACAATGTAAGATTGTTCGTCGTTTCATGGGCTGATCAACATATTTCTACTGAGCATAAGCAAGTGTGGGCTACGGAAATGTTCAACTTCTTCTGGACGCTTTGATTATGCAGAAACGAAGATGTCTTTGAACAGAATAGATGGAATGAAGAAAGAATTTTTGATGCGACAGTTGTGAAGACAGGGTTTTGGTACAAATGTAAGTGGCCAAATATGAATTTCGCGATATCAGACTTTTCAAATCTCCAAATGGGATGATCCAGGTACGTGGTTGACAGAGCTAAGCATGTTTTGTTTCTCTTTATTTGGGATTTGTATGGTATGGATACCAGTAATTTATTGGTTGGCTGATTTATGTGGATAATTGTTTATCGTAAATTGTTCATAACGAATGGTAGGCTAACTGGTAAACAATAGTAGGTTAAGTTATACGAATTGTTCAATTTATGTGGTCGATTTGGTGGTCAAGCAAGGAGGTCTGCAAGCTTTTGTAGGCTGATACTTAAAGTCACACATAATAGTTATAGCAAGGCGTTAGTGTAGCTGGTGATGCATTGTTTGATATGCTACTCACTGGGTTGATTTTTGTGTTGTGGGTCGTTGCAATTCATTATTTTGTGTTCCTGTTGGGAGATTGGTCCCTTGGTTGAATACTGGAGTTTACTGAATAGTATGATGGGTTGCTTACTCGTCAGGAGTAGTATTTATCGGATTGGTTGGTCTGTTAGATTGCTGTGATGGAGCTTTTATGTTGAGAGGTCGAAGTTTTGCATTTGGTTGTCTGCTGGGCGTTGTCCCCTCTGGTTCATGCTGATTTGTTGGAAAGGAGACTGACCTCTCGCTTCATGAGCGTGGGGTTCCCAGTGCGGATAATGTTGTCAATTTCTGACGATTTTACAAGAGAAAGGTTTTGGTGTTCTTTGGTTTAGATTGTATATGCTTTCGGGAGGTGGTGGGAATGTGCTGGCTTTTTCTAGGAGATGCCCGTTGTTTGCTATTGAGGTAGTGTTGTAGTTTTGGAATTTTCAATTACATGGCTGTGTGATGTTTGTTGTAATGAATTTTTTATGGTCTTCTTTTGAACATGGGATTGCTTTTTTGATTTGCCATTTGGCCTTGGGAGTGTTTTCAGTCCAGAGAACAATTTGAAATGGAAATCAAGAAACAATTTCTGGTCAAAAAAACAGAAAGACAAGAATTGCGCAAGAAGTTCTTTCGGTTAAAACGCCATTCGACTTGGGGGGCATAGGACTTCTTGGTCAATCCAAAAATCTTTCCGACAGGGTGCTCCTACCCCACCATGCCCGGCCTTTACCTCACCTTAACAGGAAAGAGGGGGTATGAAGAGTTGGGAAACAATGCAAGAAGTGTTTGATACAACAGGTAAGCCTAAGGAGCGGCGGCAAAGCTCTTGATTAATCAACGCGAGTGAACTGTGCTTAGACGCTTCGAAAACCGCACCGGTCTATGAGAGGAGTAGGTTTCCCCTCTTAATTAGTTCGGGTGCTCTTGTTCCTTCATCTAGATTAGGAAGGTTTTTTAACGAGACATCAATCAGTGCAGACTTGTCTTTGAATAGTTCGATCGGATTGAATAACATACAAGACTTCCTGTTTTAAAAAATATTATCTTAAACTTTAAATGTCTTTCTAATTCGATTTCACTAATTCTTTTATAAAATTGAACTAACTAAATAATATAAAGTTTTATAAAAAAATAAAATTTAAAAGTGATAAAATTAAAATTTATGTATATCATAAAATATATAATTAGAAAAATAGTTATACAATTAAAAAGAGTATTTTAGTGAATATAACATGATAGAGGAAAATAAAATTCACTAAATATGAATCCATGTGTTTGAGATTTTTTTTAATTATCCTTGACAGTTTTAAAATTTTTCAAGAAATAGAAAAATCGTCTCTATAAATAAAAATAAAATAAAACTCACATTAAAATTGACATGTATGAACATAATAGTATAATTATTCGGCTAAATAAAATAAAATTCACATTATAATTTATCTCTAAATTGAATGAATCATTTAACAATAACATTTTCAATCACTCTAGTTGATATAAATATTTTTAATTTTTTAGTAATTTAATTTTTATTTTTAATAATTTTATATTTAAAATTTTTTATACTTGTATAATTTAAATTTTAAAATATTTTTCCTGAAAAATAAAATAAACCCTTGAAGGGCCATATTATTATTTTTTTAAACCAAATGTTGTGATAGACTGAGTCAAAGCATTTTATTTCCCACTAAAAGACATTTCAACTTGCATACTAAAAATCGAGCGCATATACACAATAACAAAAACTCAATTATGACTTCATTCGTTTAAATTATACTTACCAGGGATGCCTCTTGTCCGATTTGCAAGTGGAGAAGAGACTATCCTTCACACGCTTCGGGATTGTCAGTTGACTCGCAGCATATGTGATCTCTTTATTCCCAGTCAGGCCAAGCTAAGTTTCATTTCTTTGAATCTCTTTGATTGGCTTTCTTCCAATCTTTCTGTTAATGCAGGCTGGAATCATGTTGATCTGTATTGGAGACATCTTTTTCGGCATTCTGATTTGGAGATTTTGGAAGCAGCAAGACTGTCTGATCTTCAATGGTCAAATTTGGTCGGCGCAGGAAATAATTCGGTCACGTGGACATGGGCCAAAACCTTTCGAGATAACCAAGCCAAGACTCTGCGCCGCAATATATTCCAAAACCGGAAACATAGGTGGACTCCCCCTACTTCCAAATCTGTGAAACTAAATATTGACAGAGCGGCGGCTCCTCCTTCGATTAAGGTGACTAGTGGAGGAGCACTTCGTGACGAGGATGGAACTTGGTTGTTTGGTTATCCTAGGAATATTAGTCGGTGGCCCATATTTCAAGCACCATTCTTCGCAGGATTCATAGGTTCGTAACTCATACTTGGAGAGTTAAGTTCACTCATATTGCTCGAGAAGCCAATGTTCTCGCTGATTATCTTTCCTACTGTCGGAACCGTCTTTAGGGTAGGTCCGAAATTGGGATTCGACTTAAGAAATATGATTTGAAGTCGCCACCGATCATTTTAAAAACATTTAGGTGGATCGAACACCATCTTACTTGATCTACGTTTTACCATAAATGTAACGGATTCATGAGTCGGCTACGGTCAATGAAGGATTAGCACACTTGAACCGCCATTTCAGTACCAATTAATTTGTCGGTTGTCTTAGTAGCGAAAATTTGAAATTTAAATTTAAATTTAAAACATTCGATTCGAATTTTTTACCTTTGATCAGTTGGGATTTCTCTATAAAGTTAAAAATGTTAGATAAAAAATAAGAATAAATATTTAAATAAATGAAAGAAACAAAACATAAGAATGAAATAATAATAATAAATCAAAAGAAGAAAAAAATTGTAAAAATGAATAAAAAAAATAGTAAAATAATAAAATAAAAAAGAATAAAATAAAATAAATAAAGAAATAAAATAAAGGAAAAGATGAAATAAAACAAAACAAAAGTAAAAAACAGAAAAAAATATAATAAATAAATAAAAAAATAGTTAAAAATTTAAAGAACCTAACAGTAATTAAATCAAACACCAAATGGTGATTAAAATAAAACACTTGCAAATTTCACAGCCAAATTTGAACATTAAAGAAAATAGATAAACAACCGAAATCAGTGACTGAATCAAGAAAAAGAAGAAATAGTAACTAAATTAAAACATGCAGAAAATTAGAAATCAAAACTAAAAATAATGAAAATAAACTTCCATGACTATAATGTAAAAGGTACAAATTAAATGACCGTTTACGCGTTTTACCCATAATATTTGAAGGACCAAAGGGAGAGATTACCCTAAATTCCACCTTCACGTGGGATTATTCACAATAAAAATGAGTTATGCTATGGCAACATGGGTCCCTCATGAATTGCAATTTTTCAGGAGCCATGATACAGAAGCATGTATCTCTCCACTTCGCAAACGAAGTAGTGAACAAATTGAAGTTGCTCGTGTACCTGAACTTCATGACCGTATCTTTGGTGTAATACGCTTTCTTCTCCTTCATATCGAGCTCATGAAATCTTCGAACTCCATGTTTCATCTCTTCGAGAACGCTTAAAGGTATCCCATGGTTGACGACCTGAAAAAAAACCCATGTTTCCGATGCATGCCTGACGTCCTCGACAGTCTCGTTGTGCCGCAACGGGTTATCTCTGATCCCTTTTCGATCAATGACCAAAATTCTGAACTGGGTTTTCTCGGTAGTCGTCGGGCTGCTTGTTGAGATAGGCGTCGCGATGAACATACGAGGGACTTTGGTGATTCCGGCATCGAACAGACCTTTGACGCCGGCTTTTAAATCAGCGGATGCTTTCAATTCCTTTTGCCGGTCGTAGTTGGAATCTTCATTGATTTTAGTTTCGTCGGTTACCACCATTTTTCGCCTCTGTTTTGATGTAAATACGCGGTGGAGATTCTATGAGAGTATGGAATGAAGTTGTAGAGGAATTTGGTTATCAGTCGGGTGGATAGAAATCAACCACCTTGGCGATGAAGGCAGCAGTGATTACCGTATTTTAAATGATGATAATTAACCGCTTTCACCCACAACCTGGAGATTGGTAAAATGACGATGGACAACGACATGGGTGAAGTAAGAAAAGGAGAAGAAGATAGAGAGGGAAGTGGATTACAGGAGAGGAGAGCCCTTAGCTAGTACTCTGGTTTTGGATAAGCCAAGTAAATATGCCCCCTTTTTTCTCTCCTTTTTTGTGTCTTTTCTCTATGCATCCCCCTAAAAAGTAGAAAGAAAATGTAATTTAAAGAATGAAATTCTGGGATTTGTTTAAGTTAGTGGGGGTAGTGGTTGCACGATGGAAAAGGAATTTGTTGGGTTGAGTGGGTAGTTTGTTGGAATAATGGAGATAGTGAGGTTCAACATGGGACCTGAAAAAAGAAAAAAATTAATAATAATAATAAAAATAATAATCATAAATAAATAAATATTTTTTAAATCTCGGACAAAAATGAGTGTCTACAGCTGCCCCTCTTTGCACATTCTTGTGTTAACAAGAATAGGGAAAAGACGAAAAAAGACAATCAGTTTTTGTCCGGTCCTCTCAAATGTTATTAGGCTTCCTGGAATTGGGCCTTTGTCTTCTTCTCGGTTTAAAAAAATTGGCTTGAAAATTCTTTCAGAAAGTAGTTCCTCGCTGTCATCGAGCTGAATGAAATCGAACTCGTCAGTTTTGTTGATAGATATCCCTTCTCGCCTTGAGCTATGCTGTAAATTTGATATGCCTCTGAGCTGAATGTAATTGAACTCGAAGGTTTGGCGTTTCAAGAGAAACATTTTCAAAGATGTTTTTTTTGTTTCAAGAGAAATTGTCTCAAGGGAGGCAAAAATTTGTTTCAAGAGAAACATATTCAAAGTTTGGTGTTTCAAAAGAATCTGTCTCAAGAGAGACAAAACTTTGTTTCAAGGGAAACTGTCTCAAGAGAGACACAATTTGTTTCAAGAGAAACTGTCTCAAGAGAGACACAAACAAAATTTGTTTCATGAGAAACTGTCTCAAGAGAGACAAAACTTGGTTCCAAAAGAAACTGTCTCAATGGAGACGAAATTTGTTTAATGTAAAACATATTTAAATGTTTTGATTCAAGGGAAACTATCTCAAGAGAGAAAATTTGTTTCAAGGGAAACTGTCTCAAAAGAGATAAAATTTGTTTCAAGAGAAATTGTCTCAAGAGAGACAAAACTTTGTTTTGAGTAAATTAGTCTCAAGAGAGACGACCCCTTGTTTCGAGAGAATTAATCTCAAAGGCGATCAATAATCTGCTTGTTCTTGAAGATGAATGTTGCTGGTGGGTACGATTCTTTTCGTCGTGAAGTTGAAATCGTGGATGACCCATTTGTTGTGAAGTTGAGCCTTGAATTGGATATCCTTCGTCGTGAAGATGAAATCCAATCTAAAGATGAATGCTGCTTGTGTGCCCGATTCCCTTCGTTGTGAAGTTGAAACCGTTGATGGCCCATGACTTGAATATCCTTCGTCGTGAAGTTGAAATCCAAGCTTGTACTGTTTCGAGTCCAATATCCTTCGCCGTGAAGTTGAAATTGGCTCTGAATGAAACTGGGAAGCCCTTTCACCGTGAAGTTGAGCTTTGAATTGGATATCATTCTTCGTGAAGTTGAAATCCAATCTAGAGTTGGCACGATATCCTTTGTTGTGAATTTGAAATCGTGGTTGTGTGGGCACGATATCCTCTGTCGTGGAGTTGAAATCGTGGATCCGTGGGTATGATATCCTCCGTCGTGGAGTTCAAATCGTGGATGGCCCCTTCGTCGTGAAGTTGAGCCTTGACTTGAATATCCTTCGTCGTGAAGTTGAAATCCAAGTATTGAATGTTTTTTGGAGTTGGATATCCTTCGTCGTGAAGTTGAAATCCAATCTCGAGCAAATTGTGTCGCTTTGAGTCCAATATCTTTCGCTGTGAAGTTGAAATTGACTCTGAACGAGACTCGAAAAGTTATTTTGTCGTCAGACAGTTGCCCCTTCTCTGTGAGGTCGAGCAACCACCCTCAACTTTTGAATGTGCTTTTAAATCGAGTATCTTTCGTCTTGAAGTTGACACTTGACTTAAAAAGCAGCAAAAAATTATGTATGCTAAAAATGATAAATTTGATGTCTAAGATGCATGCAACATGAATTAATTCTTTTTTATCTCCTGGATGGAGCCTCATTCTTTGTCTGCTTGTTCCTGCATGTGGAGGAATGACCTTCAGAAGATCTGATAATTCGCATCAGGATGTTGAATCCCCAAATATGCCCCAATATTCGATATTGAATCTTCAAAGATGCCCCCATTGTTCCTCATTTCTTGCTTCAGCATTGATTCTAGGCATGAGTTTTGTGTCTGAGAGCCACTTGTCATTTACCAAGATCCACTCTAGAGAGATTATTTTGTTTAAAAAGATGTTTTTCTTTCTCTTTTATTTTCAAAGTTATGAAAATATAAATTAAAAGAGTTTCGAAAAATGTTTAATCAAAAGTTTTGAAAATATTGCCCCTTTCACGGTTTTACAATTGAGACGAATCATAAAACTAGAGTTCATTGGATATCAAAGAATTAATTACATTGTTAATCCTTCAATAAATTATAGCTATTTGACAAGTTCCAAGATCAAAGCTACTTTGGGAAATGGTTAAACAAGGAAAAAATCAGGTTATTGTGTTTGGTCAACGGTTTGACATTTTTGTTTATTTGATTCTCAATGGTTTCATGGGGTAGCTCACATGCTCCTTTACTGGAAGTATTCTCTGACTCCCAGCTTTCATGGTCACACTCAGATTGTGCGATGCCTTATCAAGGAATTTGTATATTCGAGCTACCTTTTTAGGTTTTCAACTCGAATCCTCCTTTGGTTTCAAGGCGTAATCAGAATCTACATCTTGAACCCCTTTGTTTTTTTCTCTATCATGCATTAAAGATTTTAGAAAACTTTTTACAAATAAAGGTTAATCCTGATGGGCGGTGTGAAATATGAAGATAGTCTCTTATGTTCAGAAATCCACGTATGATTTGAAGGGACTTTTAAGACACGTAACGTAGGCCATGGTTCATGGTTATGAAAGAAAATGATAAATAGGCCCAAACAAGTATTTCAGGGTATTGAACCAAAGATCAATTCATTCGGATGCCTTGAATTTTGTCTTGCTCAATTTGAATATGCTCATATGTGTTTCTCTTGATTTTCTCTGGATGCTACATGAACTTCGAGTGAAGTGATTCTGGAATGATTATGCTTGATCAATCTCATAATTTGAATCTCGATGTGTCATTTGAATCGAGAGAATCTTTTCATATGCGTCTTGTTTTTTTTCCTTTGTTTTTGCTTTTTGCTTTTTGCTTTTTTATTTTCTTTTTTTCTTTGTTTTTCTCTTTTTTCTTCTTCTCTTTTTGTTCTTGATTGGATCTTTGCACTTGGCATTTGGTTCACCTTTTGGTATCTCCTTGGATTGATGTCTTCACTCATGTGAGCAGATTTCTTCCACCTTGCCCCCAGTGTGGAGAGTGATCCTTGGTTAGGGTTGAATAAGAAAAAAATACTATAGGCTCAAAAGGGGACACAAGGGATATATATTTTCTCCTGCTGTGAAGCGATAAAAAAAGAAAGTCGTTCATCATTTCATACATGGAAGTCTTCACAGAAGAGGTATCCCCAGGGGGATAGATTTTTAGGATTAATTTTATTCACATGAAAACAGTGTAATTAATGCATGATAGAATTATTTAGAATGAATTCTTCTTTCTGCTTCTTGCTCTTAACATGTCTCAATGTTCAGGCTCCCTGCGAGATGCGCAAGCTGTGTCTTAGAAGAATGCTCATGTTCAAATGAACAACTCAATGCCTTTGGTTTTAATGGTATAAAAATGTTAATTTTGAGTCTAAAAAGACAATGGTGTGATTTTATTGACTCAAAGAAAGGTATGGGTATGACTCTTTGTGCATTGAAAAGATAAAGGCAATGTTCAAAAGTTTCAAAGGGTGGTAATATCAAAATATGGTCTTTTGGTAATGACCATTAGTTATTTTGGGTAAAGAATCAAGGTACTTTATTTTGGGGTTTTTAGACAGGATAAGATAGGTCTACTCTTGTCATATGTCAAAAATCTATAATTCTTGAAGAATTAAAATAATCCTCAATTCATTTAATATTCAAAGAACTAAAGATTAAAACTCGTTCAATTATTCCACCTTAAAAGGTAGCATAACTTCAGTCGTTTAAAAGATTAAGCAAACATGAAAGATAAAAAACGTGTTCAAACAAGACAATACTCCCCAATGTAAATGGTAGACGCAATGCCCCATTCTTTGATTGTCCAAGACCCTGAATCCATCAGGTTTTGAATCTTGCGCTTCAGTGTCATACAGTTCTCAGAGGAATGTCTAGTGCTTCCCACACAGCTTCAACATCGTAGATCTTAGGATATGGGGACTCTCCTGGCAGGTTGTCCTACAATTAGCTGATCAGACTCCCACTGCACCGATTTCAATTTTTTTCTTTAATTGTTAAAATATTGCTTCCATGTGGTTAAGAATACTTCATCGAATCCTCCATTAAGAAATTTCATGTTTATAAAAATGCTTAAAAATGAAATGTAGATGCAAAATGCATGAAATGTTCGAGGTATTGATCCGAAAACATGTTTGTTATTATAAATAATCTTTATTGGGACAAAAGTGTTCTATCTTTTAAGAGAAAAAAATATCAAAGGTATATTCTGATTAAAACTTCTAGACCCCGAACAGTTTCTAACAGATTGACTAGTCCTCTGCCTTTGTCTGTTCTCGGTTGAATACCCTGTCGAACCGCTCCGGCTTCTCTGGCTGAACCGTGTAAGTAACGAGTTGCTTTTTGTACTTGCCCTAAG